AAGAGAATCAGAACAAATAAAGTACCTTGAGGATGTTGTCCCATTATCCTTGATCCATTTGACGGCACAATAAATACACAGAAGTTCTGCTTGAAAAACTGTGCGTTCATTCCGTATATGGTGTCTAAAATAGAAAACCTCGGAATGGCCTTCAAAAAGAACAACTGCAAGGCCAGCCTTGTTGTTCATCTTGCTGCCATCAGTAAAGAAAACCATATGAAAACTCATTTCAGTAGTCTGTTTATAATCGCAGAAACTTATGGGCTCTAGCGGGATGAGGAAGATCAGTGAAGAGGACAATTTCATTTATGCAGTCTTCCAAAGTATCGGTGCCAATGACTCGAAAATATTATTCTTATATACAATTTTAAAATCAATAGGTGGAACTCCTGCAAGAACAAAAATAGCCTCATAGCTTAAGGTTCTATAACCACTAATAATACGAAGAAGAATTCTCCGTTGAATCTTTCTCAAATTTCTTTTGTTAACCTTCTTTGCCAGAACATGTCCCTAAGCACGACAGCCATACGAAATCAAAGGTACAATACACTGCTTATACATCAGTTTCTTAATATCGTAGCTTACTCCAAAAGTATTTTTGGCGATTCGGTGAAAGCCATTAGTATTTTTTTCACACTTAGCAGAAAGGAACTTAATATGCTTTTTCCATGTTAATTTTTGGTCAAGAATGACACCAAGATACTTAACATTTTCCACAAATTCCAACAGAGAATCATCAGATATCAAAGGAGCAATATTTTGTTCATCAAACAATCATAATTAACAATCATAGCTTTACTTTTTGAGGGACTGAAAGTAAGTTTATGAGAAATCGCCCAATTGGAAATAAAATCTAGAACTTTTTGTAATCTCAAAAGAAAAATGTTATTAAAAGCCTTTCATTGGAAAATTAAAAAATAAGTCGTCTGCAAATGCAATTTTTAAACAACTTTCGAGAGGACTTAAAAGATCATTTATTATTATGTTCCCAAGAGTAGGTCCGGACACAGAACCTTAAGGACAGCCTTTTTCTAGAGAATAAACCTTAGCTTCGGTCTCAAGCTGAAGCTCAGCGGTTTTTCCGTTCAAGAAGCTTTTAAGCAGGGTATAGATGTTATGTGGTATACCAGCATCTATTAGAATTTTTAAGATAGATGGCCACCAAGCATTATCCAAAAGCCCCTTTGAAATCCAGGAAAATAAGAATTGTAGTAAACTTCATTTTCTTTCCATACTGCAAGATATTACAAAGACGAATAATGGCATCATCAGCAGACTTCCGAGAAGTAAACCCGAACTGAGAATCATTATAAAAACATTTCTCTCTCAAATATCAATTTATTCTGTTAATGAAGAGAGTTTCAAGAAATTTTCCCAAGGTATGCAAAAGACTAATGCATCTGATATTATCAAGGTAAGGAGTTCTTGTATCTAAAGTTTTAGGAATCAGAACAACCCGAGTCCTCTTCCATTGTGCTGGAAAAATTCCTAATTGTAAACAAAGGTTAAAATGTCTGTGCAAAAAAGTGCTATCCACCGCATGAAAGTGCTCTACAACTTCATGGGAAAGAGAGTCTAGCCTAGGTTGATTTGTTCTTCATGTCTACTTTTCCTGATACGCGCATTGTATATGGTGGGCTTTATTTGTAGTATCAACTATACTAAGTCAGCATGCGTTGCATAATATGTTTTTTAGTAATGTGTGGAATAATAGCAAGTCAGTGTGATGTATAATTGCAGGCTTGAAATTCCATTGTTAGTCTTGAATTTTATTGTTTGGTTTACCCAAACTAGTTTTGTATCCATGCAGCTCTGTACTTCTAAGTAATTCTTTTTTTTTTTTTTTTTTTAATCTATGCAATCAATGTCATATGTACCCAAGATAGTTCTTTATATCCCTTATCTAGATGTGACTCTGAAATTTTTTTTTTTTAATTTAGACTCAATAAATGCCGTTATGGTTTCTACAGGGCCGGCATCATGCCGCAAGGGCTTGTTCCCGGCCAGTAGTCCTCCTTGGCACTGTAAAAGTAAAAACAAAAAGGGGTAAAAGACAGGCAAATGTTAGAGAGTTGAAATCGATTTCTAAGGCTTAATTATTATTACAATAAACTTTCAAGATAAAATAAATTTTCTGCTGAAATTATGGTGTCTTAATTAAAAAAAAAAAAAAAAAAGTTCCAAAATATCTGCAGATACACTTCTATTACTTTTCGGAACGAAATGTTTACCAACTCTCTTAGAGTTTTCACACTTCCTGGAGAATAAACCTTTGGCATGTAGGTAGGCGTTTTCTTTCCTTAAAAATCTCAACCTCCGTCCAAATGTTTGTTTCCAGGCAAGTATTAAGGGGTAAAAGACAGGCAAATGTTAGAGAGTTGAAATCGATTTCTAAGGCTTACTTATTATTAAAATAAACTTTCAAGATAAAATAAATTTTCTGCTGAAATTATAGTTCAGTTACAAAAAAGAAGTACTAGAGCCCTCTTATTTAGGGCACCCGTGAGCTCCGAGTAAAATTACGATTTATCTAAAAGATTAAGAAATACCGAAGCCGGGCTCCGATGTGCCTCGGCTTAATTTAAATTTTGATTACAGTGTAAGAAGATTACAGAATGAAATTAGCCGAAGTATAGAAAGTTTAGAATATGTAGTTAAATATTAATAAACAGGGTGTCTCAAAAAATGTACTCACACTTCGAATAAAGAGAAAAACTTTATTTCGGAACATAGAGTGAAATGAAATCGCCTCGAATGCAGAAGAGAAATATAACTGAAGAATCATGTTTGTGAATATTCAAACTGATGACCATCATTGTCCGGATAACGCACACCAAGGGATTCGCAAACGTCACGAAACAGGTCATTAGGAATAACGCGACATTGTCTTTCAATTTCCAATTTCAATGCCTCAGTTGTTCTTGGTTTGGTGCGATAAACTTTGTCTTTAAGATATCCCCACAAAAAGAAGTCCATGGGCATAAGGTCTGGGGAACGCGCAAGGCATTCATTGGTATCCTTTCGTTCAATCCATGTGTCTAGAAAGGTTGCATCGAAATGAGCCCGTACATCGCGATGATAGTGAGGAGGTGCTCCATCTTGCTGAAAGTAAATGTCGTCATCATCACCAAACATGTGTGAAATTTGTGGACCGAAAAGCTCCTGAAGCAAGTTGACGTAACTCTCATCAGTGACAGTTCCGTTAAAAAATGGTCCTATGATGCTCAATGTGGATATCCCACACCACACTGTTACGTCTGGTAAGTTTACATGGTGTTCAAGTGTTACATGAGGATTTACAGGATCCCAATACGCTCAATTATGGCCATTAATGGAACCATTTAATTTAAAGAATGCCTCATCGCTCCACACAATTTTGTGTAGAAACCCTGCATCTTGTGCACAATTTGGCAGATTCACAGAATTGAACTCTCTGGTCAGGATTGTCTTCGTTGAGTGCATGGATTAGTGTTGGAATGTAGCATTTCCAGTGCATGGGCTTCATAATGCGATAGATGCTATCGTTTGAGATATGGGTTTCCAGAGCAGTTTGTCGAAGAGATTTCTGTGGTGATCGAAAGAGTATTTCCTGCACCTGCTATTCTTTTTCAGAGCTCTTGGATGCCCGTGGTCGTCCAGGACGTTTCTTGTTGACGTTCTGCACAGTTTCATTTGCTTCAAACTTGTCTCTCTTGGGAGCAATGGTTCAGCGCATTGATGGGTTTTTTTTTTCGAATTCCCATCTGTATCGTCTTTGCAGTTCACTGGCGTTTTCGGTGTTCCAATAACATTTCAGGACAAACTTCGTCGCTTCCAAGCTAAGTTGATTTCCTACCGTGCTGTGATAAATTAATTACACCCGCAGTTCAAAAAAGCAGCATGCTAGAGACAGTTAAAGTGTGAGTACATTTTTTTAGACACACTGTATTTTATATTATAATCATATTACGAAAAAATAGATCACTATCGTAAATTATGCATTATAAAGCGAATTTAGATCAATTTGGAGCTCTTTTGAAATGGCGATTTCACGAAGCACAACGAATTTCCAAAAAATAATTAATTAAGTAATTAATGGAGTGGTCAGTGACATTAATGCACGTAGAAATAGTTATTTGTGTTTTGAATGGTTGCTGAAATTCTTTGAGCTCAAGGGAAAGTGCTTTTTCTAAAGATTCAAAGAATTACAATAATATACAACATTAGTTTATTTGACTGTTTAGTACCAGGTACTTTGCCAAACTCCGTAGTCAAAATACCACATTGTCTTTCCCAAAGAAACAACACAATCTCTAGTCTTTCCCAAAGAAACAACATCGTCACCCTTCCCCAAGGTATTGAGATTTTTTTTTCTTTCCCCTAATGGTGGGCTTTAGCCGTTTACAGGCGCTGGCTGTTACTAAGGCTAAAAGAGCTGATTTCTTTATTATGGAGGCACCTAAGAGATGGACCACCATTGCCTCCTATGAAGGAAAGGACAAATTACTTCCACGCCTTCTCTGAGATTCGAAACTGGGCACTTCGGTACGGCAGAGTCAACCACTTTTCCCGTATGAGGTACTGAGAAAATGAAACCTATTTTTCAATTGAAAGAACAAAGGGGCAACCCCTGGAACAAGAGTTGTTCTTCGGAAACTTTTGAAATAGTATCTAATTTACCCGCTAGAAATATGTTTGTGTCCTTTACAGTGAGCATAAACAAAAGATTATCTCACTCCGGGGATGGTCCGGTCGGTATTGGTTATTAGCACGACAAGTTATAAGGTCTGTGGAAATTTCCAATCCAGGTGTTTCTAAGTTCTTTTGCAGAGAAAATAAAAGATTAGCAGAATAATAAAAAAGACAATAAACTTCTCAACAACTTTTCTTGGTTAATAATTGAAAAAAAAAAGGGGGGGGGATTTTATTAAATTAATGAAAATGAACCCCCGCACCCATGTCTATTAAATGCTAATGAAATTGAAACTTTTAGCATAATATATTTTTCCTATTTACTCCAGGTCCTCTTTCAAGTGCCTTAACAAATAAATATGGTTGCCGAGTAGTCAGTATCCTGGGAACACTAGTAGCTTTCTCTGGTCTTCTACTTAGTCTTCCGGTACCCCATATAGCATATTTATATTTCACGATAGGTATTCTAGCCGGTAAGCAGAATTTTTTCTTTTATATTTAATCTTATTTTCTAATTTGTGCAAGTTAATGTATTTATTGGAACAAAAATGAGCTCATTTATATCACTTGCTAAAACAAATTAGCTTAAATGTTTAATGTTACCCAGTGGGTATTAGGAATGAACTGGAGATTGACTTTAAAAATGGAAGAACATATGACCCATATCAGTTCTCAACAGATGGAAAATTATACGATTCTATAAATATAAAAAACCCCGCGGGTATGAAAAGCTTATAAGCAAGCAAGATGTAAGCAAGATAGAGTAATAGCGGCAAGAACTTAAAAACATATAGTATTTCGCTTCTAAACAAGGCCAGCACAAGGTCCTTTTGCCATTCGCTTCTTCGCGATTTTACAGCTTAGATTTTGTTTTCCTTTCAGTGGAAGGATATACAGAACTGGCGCTCGGCTTTTTTCCTGGCACGGCTCTGAGCAAATTCAGTCAGGAATCCCTCCTGGTATTTCAACTAATCGTGGAGCTCTCGAACAGGAGGAAACCTTGTTAAATGGAGGTTGCTTGTAGCTAACGAATTTGAATACTATGAAGTGTAAACAGTAATTAAGTAACTGGCGTTGTAAACTTGATCTTTGTTACGTTGATTTTAAAATATCAGTCTAATACTCATTCTGATATTTGTTAGAGTTTTCGGTATTATCGCAGGAAGTTACTTACTACCCGCATGCTGACTTATCGCACGTGAACCAGACTGAAAACCAAAGAAACTGATAATATTACCGTACTAAACCCAGTGCTTAAATTGCGCCGGAGCCCACCGGAGCAGATTCCCGTACTTCTCAATTTTTAAGATAAATTACAATTTTAGCCGGAGCGCACCGGAGCCCTAAATAAGATGAGTTCCGGTACTTCTTTTTATAAAACTGAAGCACAATTTAAAGGAAAAAAATTAGAATTCCTAACGTTTTAGTTTAACAATAAGCAGACCTTGCAATACTCTATTTCCCTAGAAATACGAACTCATGAAAACATGAGATATTCAAGTAAAGTCCCCTCACTCACATGTGGAAACCTTTTCCTTTAAGAAGGGCAATAAATTTGGGTGAGTTTCATTAGGAACGCGTAAATTTCTCGCCATGCCATCGTATCTAGTGTATTTTTATCGATGCTTACATTTAGTTATCCTCGCAGGATGGAAAAATTGTGTTCTTAAATGTGCGTTAAGTGACAGCGAGTACAACAAGAGTGAAATATTAAGATAAACTGCTCAAGTACGTCCTATACATCGTCTTATAGTATCCACTAATGGGGGGGAAGCGTAACCAGCAACTTTACATTCATCCTTAGGAGTCAGATTCAGGACTCATTTTACCCGACACACATCTGCTTGATGGCTATCATTAAATCAGCAGAGAGCCGCGGTCAAAGAAAACATTCTCTCTCACCAAGGTTCCCCTCATTTTTTGTTTCCACCCACTCATACCCTCATTCTGTTTCGCCCTGGAATTTTCCTCAGCTATACTTCTTATATTTAATTTTTGTGATGATAAAATACTCCCACCCCCTACGATCAGAGCTTAAATTGGGCCAGTGCTTCTTAGTTTTTGTAATAAATCATAATTCTAGCCGGAACGCATCGGAGCCCTGAATAAGAAGGCTGCGGCACTTCCTTTATGTAACTGAATAACAATTTCAGTAGAAAATTTATTTCGAAAATTTTATTTTAACAATAAAATTATATTAAAAATCCTTTATTAAATTTCAATTTAACTCTTCACATTTTATGTAATTTTAATTATTTAATTACTTCAATCTTTAATTATTTCAATAAATAATAATTAATTATCTAATAATTATCAATTAAATTATAATTAATTATTTAATAATTATTGACTACATAACAATTTATAAACATTAAATAAATAGCTATTAATTAATTTGATAACAATTAATTGTTTAATTTTTAAATTAGGAATGAGTTTAATAGTCATTTTATTTATTTATTTACTCTTGTTCCTCTTTGCTGACGGTCTTCCATAGGGCTCAGGCATTTCTAATCTTAGAAATTAAGCCCTGACTAAACCACATGAAAAGCAACAGTACATAAATAAATAAATGCAAAGAAATTATACTTGCTTGCTTTTATTATCAAAATACCAGATTATTACATTAAGCTGTACAACCTTACCACAAAAATGCATTGATGCGGTCCTGAAGAACACTTACCATATAAAAGCAGCTCATACGATCCTGTTCGGCATTTGTCGATTAAAGAAGTCCTATTTCACATTTCTCAATAGTAATAATTTTACTTCTGTAATCAGATATAAAGTAACACCGATAGTCATTCTTATTTTTTGCTAGTACAAACACTTTTGCTATCTCTCATTATGGCCAGAAATTTGTCTTTGGTGTTCACAGATAATCAGCACAATTCAGCAAGATGATGAGGCAGCATCGTAGTTTTCCTCTCAAACTTCGTACAAATATTTGTTAAGATGATCTCATAGACATTCTCTCATCTGAATGTTGGCACCGTAGTAAGATCAACAAAATTGGTCTGAGCTTTTACTGTCAGGTGTGGGCATCACATGATTCATACATATACAAAGGCAACGGTAGATCACCCACTTCCACAGATACGACCCGGCAGATTACATGTTACGAGAATGCCAAATTTTCAGTGCGTTTTATTCATTTTTCTCCAGGCAGATAGACCTAGTGTGCTTTGCCGTAATTGTAGAGTTCCTCACTTTGGAATTCTAAAGTTAATGTTGGAAGTGAAGAATCTAAGAACTCATAAGCGAATAATCGCTTGCGTTCGGTGACAAGAAACAACAAGATAGAAGGGTAACTAACCCTTTATTATTCCAATAAGATTTAACAAAATTTCGCCTGGGAGTGTACAAGCAAAGCCCGCACTTGGACTTGAACTTAAAGGACTAAGAATTAAACTAAAACTAAGATTAACTAAAGAAGTATAGCCGAAGCTATCAAGGTTCAAAACGAGAGTGCCCCCTTAACTTATTTGACTACGAAGCTTAGCAAGGGCCTGAGTACGGCCGAGCGTAATAACAGCTTTGAGAGAGAGAGTGGCCAAAAAGGCAGACGTGCGTAAATCAGAAACACTGATTCTCTCTGACTCAGTAAGTAACTTCGTGGTTTAAATACCGCTCCTCCTCATTAAATATTCAGCAAGATTCCAAAACTACGTTCTCGCCGTAAGTAGTAAGTTGAAGTTAAGAATCTGACAGGAAAGGAACTTAAAATTTAACTGTTAATAAAATTAACATAATCCTTACATAATAAACTAAACATTTAAAAAAAAAATTCAAATTGCGATATAATTATTGATGTTTTGTTTATTACATATTCGTCAAAAATAAAGATTGCAATGAGCAGTATTATTTTTTCTAAATTGAGGAATATACTATTTATCAACTACTTGCTAAAAATTAATTATATTAGATATCCATTCATCGCTAAGATATTGCACTAAAAATTAAAAAATTTAAAAAAATCATACATAAAAAGTTTTTTTCCCTCTCTTTTCGTTTCATTTAGGATCTGGTATTGGATTGATGGCAGTGCCTGGTATTGCTGCAGTTTCCTGTTATTTCGAAAAGAAGCGTGCAATTGCGACAGGTTTAGCTGTCTCGGGTACTGGTTTTGGAGGTTTGATTCTTGCTCCTTTATTAGAATGGCTGATAGACTTTTATGACTGGAAAGGCGCCATGTTGATATCCGCTGGATTAATCCTGAATTGTGCTGTGTTCAGTTCTTTATATCGCCCATTTTGTGAACCAAAGCAAGAAATTCTTCCACCAGTGGAAACCATCACCATAGAAAGTGAATTGGCAGCAACGCAAGAAAATGCAAACGAAATGACCGCTGAAGAACATGCCTTGGGCTACATTCTACAAAGCTCTGCTAAGCACAGTGAATCCGATGTCTTTCGTCAAATAGGAAATATTCTTTTTGATTCCGAGGGTAATGTTTCATACGTCGTTTCGAAAGCTTCTTCTAGCGAACCAGGACTTCTGTCACAACCAGATATTTTCTACAGAGGTAATCTTCAAAAGTCTTCTGAATTGAAGATTGTCTCTTCACCGGAACCGACTGAAATACCTGAAGAAGAAAAAATTTGCCCTAAAGAAATCACAAATATTATATTGGAGATGGTAGACATATCCTTGATGAAAGATTACACATTCTTAATTTTCGCAGTTGGTAATTTTTTAATAAGTTTTGGAATATATGCCCCTCTTGTTTACATGACAAGCCGAGCAAAACAGCTAGGTATCACAATGAAGAAGGCCAGTTTGCTCTTAGCTACAATAGGATTTTCCAGTACAATCGGCCGTATAATATTTTGTTGCTTGGCAGATATAACAACGGTGAAAAGTCTTTATATCTATATCGCATGTTTATTCTTCAATGGAATTTCAACAATGTTCTGTCCACTGGCGAGCCAGTATTACCAGTTAGCAATTTACTGTGTTGTTTTCGGATTGACTACAGGTAAGACTTCATAATAAATCATTGGTTTCTTAATAGAAAAAAAATTTTAATCCTACTAACTACACAACATAAAATTTTTCCATGGTTCGATTCCCGGCGAAGGTGTTGCTCATTTTTCATCTCTCCTGCTTCCGAAATAACCTAATATCTCTACATGGTGATTGGATTCTGAAAATATTTATGACTTGAATAACACTGTAAATTAATAGATTTATATCTTTATCTTTAATCGCCGCCCAGACGGGAATGTGGTTAGTGCTGCATTTGTCGTACCAAAGTGCCCAGATTCGAATCCCATCGGAGAAGGCATGGATGTAATTTCTCCGTCTCTTCATAGGAGGCAACGCTGGACAACCTCTTAGGTGCCTCGACAATAAAAGAGACCACTGCTTCCGGGCTTAGTAGTAACCAAAGCACCATGAAAGAAAACAAATATAAAAGAGATATTTAATATACGTAAACAGTATAGCATGAAGACAAAATATTTAAATTTGTAAGCAGTGCGAAATTAGTAGAAAAAGCTGGCAGCCTGGCAGCTAAAACGGCCCTTATCCGGTTAGGCATAAAATCGAACTGGGCTTGGATGACAGAAACGGGCAACTCATTCCATGCTGCTTCAAATCTATGCTACACTTCAGCAACCGTATTAGCTGAAAACGGGTGGCGGGCTAGTCTCTCAGCAACCAAGATGTTTTCGATGGGTAACAGATCTGGAGGAGACCATGCAGGTCAGAGCAGCAATCGAATATCCTGTGTATCGAGGAAGGTTAGAACAAGACGTGAAATATATGGTCTTGCAATTATCTTGTTGGAAAATATTTTCATTAAAAATTTAAGGATATAGAAAAACATAAAACACCAAATACAGTTAAATGAATTTAAAAACACTTTTTTTTTTCCAATTAAAACTAGTTTCTAGGCAAAAATAAGCCATTCGGCCAGCTTGCAAGAAGACAGATTTTTCGGTACACAAAACTGAAAGTTTGCTTTTGGTCTCACTCGACAAAAAGACACTGAAGGCATAGAAACTGATTTAATATGTTGTGTACGCTATGTTGAGTGAATATATGAGATAATTTAAAAACTTAAATGATAATTCCAGAGTGTATTAAACATAATTTAATTCGCAATAATAAAAGAAGACGTTACTTTGTTTCGAAGCTTAGTTTCACTAGATTGGCAACAAATCCACTATTCTGCTAAGTTTCAAATGTAAACAAATATGGTTGCTATAGTAAAAAATAATTAGGCTTAACCGCACTTAAACAACTTTTTAATTGTTGATAATGTTACCAAATTTAACCCCCCAACCAAATTTAATAATTTAATAAATTTACAGATGTTGGTGTAGACCCAATAGATGAAGGTGCCTTCGAAGGAGGTGGGACTGATGTACCAGTTTCGACAGTTTGTGGTTTTAAGATAAAGGCTGGTTTGAGACGATCCCTTTTGGCTTAAGCCTCACCGTCCTGAAGTCACCATTTGTTGCAATTCTGGGTCCTGTTTCTGGCATTCAGCAATGGCGGAGAATTCTGTTGTTGATGGCAACTGAATCTCTTCAATTCTGGACAGAGCATCAGCAACTGTATTTTGGGGGCCTTCTACATGCCTAAAATCGGTTGTAAACTGCGCTATGTAATCAAGATGACGCATTTGCCTGGGAGAAGCCTTGTCAGGCTTTTGTCGAAAAGCGAAAATTACCGGCTTGTGGTCGGTATAGATCGAAAACACACGACCTTCTACCATATGACGAAAATGTTTAATCACATCACAATATTAAAACTTAATTACTACAGTCGACAGGCAATCACGTTGGAGGAAAGCGAGCGACCAACCGCACCGACGACGACGTGACTGTGTGTCGCCGAAATCACCTTCGGTTACTAGTGATAACGGCGCGCGGTTGGCGAGTACAACACATGTTTACAGAGTCGCCACAATAATTATACAACTATAACATGCAGGTTAATTAAAGTCGTAAAAACCTTAACCGTAAGATAAGAACAAAATAATGCAACCATTTTTAAAGCAAAAAATGCACAATTTACAAATATATAAGAGTAAAGAAACTAAGTTCACTGATCCGAGTAACAGAGTGGATATATACACTGAAGTGACAAAAGTCATGGGATACCTCCTAATATTTTGTCAGTCCTCCTTTTGCCCGGCGAAGTGCAGCAACTCGACGTGGCATGGACTCAACAAGTCGTTGGAAGTCCCCTGCAAGAATATTGAGCCATGCTGCCTCTATAGACGTCCATAATTGTGAAAGTGTTGACGGTGCAGGGTTTTGGGCACGAACTGACCTCTCGATGATGTCCCATAAATGTTCGATGGGATTCATGTCGGGCGATCTAGGTGGCCAGATCATTCGCTGGAATTGTCCAGAATGTTCTTCTAACCAATCGCGAACAATTGTGGCCCGGTGACATGGCGCATTGTCATCCATAAAAATCCCATCGTTGTTTGAGTACGTGAAGTCCATGAATGGCTGTAAGTGATCTCCAAGTAGCTGAAGGTATCCATTTCCAGTCAATGATCGGTTCAGTTGCACCAGAGGACCGAGTCCATGCCATGTAAAAACAGCCCAGACCATTATGGAACCACCACCAGCTTGAACAGTGCCTTGTTGACAACTTGGGTCCATGGCTTCGTGGGGTCTGCGCCACACTCGAACCCTACCATCAGCTCTTACCAACTGAAATCGTGACTCATCTGACCAAGCCACGGTTTTCCATTCGTTTAGGGACCAACCGATATGCTCACGAGCCCACGAGAGTCGCTGCAGGCGATGTCGTGCTGTCAGTAAAGGCACTCGAGTCGGTCTTCTATAGCCCAAGGAAGACAAATTTCGCCGCACTGTCCTATCGGACACGTCCCTCGTACGTCCCACATTGATTTCTGCGGTTATTTGACGCAGTGTTGCTTGTCTGTGAACATTGACAACTCTACGCAGACGTCGCTGGTCTCGGTCGTTAAGTGCAGGTGGTCGGCCACTGCGCTGTCCATGGTGGGATGTTATGCCTGAAATTAGATACTCTCGGCACACTCTTGACACTGTGGATCTCGGAATGTTGAATTCCCTAACGATATCCGAAATGGAATGACCCATGCGTCTAGCTCCAACTACCATTCCGCGTTCAAAGTCTGTTAATTATTGTCGTGCGGCCATAATCACGTCAAAGCCCCTTTGGTGGTCGTGTGTGCTTAATGCATGATATAATTAAAGAAAATAAGAGTAGACAATCTCCTATAACAAAAGAATATATTAAGTACTAAATTACAATTTAAATTACATTGCAGAGATCAACACAGAGCTCGGAACACAGTTCATGCTACCGTCGCGTACAGTTGTCCGACGAGAAGTCTGAGTGAGTAAAGATGTCGCTTTGCTGCTCTCCGATTAAGAACTGGATTTTACACGTGGCGCCATCTCATGAATAGAAGTTGAAGTATCTGTCGGAACGCCACAGTACTCCCCCCCCAAGTACCATCGGTACGTTATAAGTACTTTGGGTTAAATTTAACCTTTCTTCCAGATCTGGTAGTTTTAGGTTGCTCTTTAACGGGATGTAAGCTTTCTTCCGGGAGTGATGTTGATGAGGAAGTTGTTGGATCTTGCATTAGAAATGCTGGTTTGAGACGATCGATTCCAATCACTGATTGTTTGCCATTGCAGATGATGGTGAAATGTTTCGGTGTTCGTTTGACAACTTTGAATGGACCATCATATGAAGGTGTTAAAGTTGGCTTAATTGCATCGTTGCGCACGAATACGTGCGAAGATGTCTCAAGCGCAGGATGTACAAAATAGCTTGGCTGGTTATGCGAAGATGCTGGGGTTGGCGAGATATTGCTCATGGTCTCACGTAAACGTTGAAGGAATGTTGGAGGGTCGATAACTGGAGTAGATTCTGGGTGAAAGAATTCACCTGGCAGACGGAGGGTTACACCATATAACAGTTCAGCACAAGTGCTACCAATGTCTTCTTTGAATGCTGTGCGAAGACCAAGCAAGACTAGGGGTAAGGCTTCTGTCCAGTGTGTGCTACTGTGGCACTTCAGACCTTGTTTGAGAGATCGGTGAAAGCGTTCCACCATCCCATTTCCAGATGGATGGTATGGTGTTGTGTGTTGTGCGAATATGGCGAATGGCAAGAAGAGAGGTGAGGGATGCGAACAAGTGACATTGAAATCGTCGGCCTTGGTCAGTAGTGATGATGGTAGGCATGCCAAATCTTGAAAGCCACTGGGAGATGAATGCTCGAGCTACAGTTTCAGCGGATATATTTTCAATAGGAATGGCTTCAGGCCATTTTGTGTACCGATCAATACAAGTGAGGAGGTAAGTGTAACCATTTGAAGGAGGCAATGGGCCAACCAAGTCTAAGTGCACATGATCAAAGCGTCTTGCTGGAAGGTTAAATTGTTGAATGGGGCTGTGAGTGTGACGGGATACTTTACACCGTTGACATCTAATACATGAACGAGTCCATTCTGTGATGTCTTGATTCATTGCTGGCCAGACAAATCTGTCTGCGATCAGCTTTTTGGTGGCACGGATTCCAGGATGTGCCAAATTGTGCAAGGCATTAAACACTTCACGTCTAAAATTGACAGGAATATAGGGACGTATTCTATTGTTCTCTATGTCACAGTAAATTTTAAGCGTTGGATCAATGTGCAGCGGTTGTAACTGAAGGGAGGTTTGTGGATTTGAGATTAGGTTCTTGAGTTCCTCATCATGCAATTGAGCTTTTGCAATTTCAGAGAAATCTGGGGTAGTGAGGTTGATATTGTTTACCCGAGACAAGGCATCAGCGACACAATTATCAGTACCAGAGACATATCTGATATCTGTACTAAACTGGGCGATGAAATCCAGATGTCGAAGCTGACGAGGAGAACATGAGTCAGAGTTTTTTCTAAAAGCGAAGGTTAATGGTCGATGATCGGTGAAAATGATGAAGTCGTGTCCTTCCAAGTTGTGCCGGAAGTATTTAACAGCACAGTACACAGCAAGTAGCTCTCTGTCATATGTGCTGTATTTCCTTTCTGCAGTAGTAAGTTTTCTGGAGAAGAATGCCATTGGGGAAAGTCCTTTAGTGGTATGGGCTTGAAGCACTGCTCCTATGGCCGTGTCAGATGCATCTACCATTATAGAGAGCTGATCACTAGGTGAGTGATAAGAAAGTGTGGCTGCATTTGCCAGATCGTGTTTGCATTGCACGAATGCTGCAGATGCAGATTCAGTCCAAGGGACAGCTCGTTGATCGTTTTTTTTTTTTTTTTTTTTTTTTTCTATTCTTCAGAAACTCATGTAGGCAGGCTTGTGTTTTTGCGGCATTTGGCAGAAAGCGTCGGTAGAAATTTAACATTGCTAGAAAAACGCTTCAGTTCAGAGATGGTTTTGGGCTGAGGTAGGTCGTTAATTGCTTTGACTCTTTCCGGTAAAGGTTTGACTCCATTCTGGGTGATAAGACATCCAAGAAAGGAAACTGAGGGTTGACCAAGTACACATTTGGATGGATTTAGTTTTAATCCATGATCTTTAAGGCGAGTGAAAATCTGACGCAGATGTTGAAAATGTTCTTCCGCATCTGTAGATGCAACCAGGATATCATCAAAATATGGGATGCAGAAATCGAGGCCAGACAGTACTTGGTGTATGAAACGCTGAAATGTTTGGCCAGCATTGCGAAGGCCAAATGGCATATATAAGTACTCAAAGAGACCAAATGGTGTAGTCACTGCGGTCTTGGGCACATCTTCAGCATGCACTGGGATCTGATGATATGCTCTGGCAAGATCGAGGGTAGAAAATATGTTTGTTCCATGAAAAAGATGGGTACAGTCTTGGATATGTGGGACTGGATATCTGTCAGGGACTGTGACGGCATTAAGTCGACGATAATCTCCACAAGGCCGCCAGTCACCATTAGACTTTTTAACCATGTGAAGTGGACTGGCCCATGGACTTTTAGATGGGCGAATGGTTCCCTGTGCTAGCATGAATTCAAATTCTTTGCGAGCAGCTTTTAGCATCTCTGGAGAAAGACGACGAGGCTTGGAAAATACAGGTGGGCCATGTGTTTCAATGTGATGATACACTTCTGGCTGATGAGTATGCTGCCCTGATTTGGATGGGTTTAAAATGTCAGGGAATTCTGCTAATAACCGATGAAACCGTGTGCTGCCCGATACAACACTTATGTTGGTAGGTACGTTCGATATGTGAGAAGCTTGGCCCTGTGATGTCAGCTGAGTTGTAGCATCAATTAAGCAATTATTCTTGACATCCACTAGAAGGTGGAAATGTGTCAAGAAGTCGACACCAATAATTGCTTGAGTTACATCCGCAATAATAAAAGGCCAGTTGAAAGTCCGGCGCAAGTTTAAATCAAGTGTCAATAGTTTGGTGCCGTAGGTTGCAATTTGGGTACCATTGGCTGCATACAGTACAAGTTTATTAAGTTGGTGAGCATTTGTTTTAGTTCTCGGGAGCACTGATATGTCAGCTCCAGTATCTACTAGAAAACATAACTGAGTTGAACGATCAGCCAGTACTATTCTGTCGATGTGGCGGACATTCTGTTGGCCAGCAGAAGACCGCCCATTTAGTTTCCCGCTTGTACAAAAGTGCATGGAGGGGCACACTTGCGAGCTTGAGAGCCAAAATTCATATGATAAAAACATATGCCACTTGTGGGTTCTTTGTACTGCGTTCGAGTATTGTGACGAGATTGACTCCTGCTTCGGGCACGAAATTTATTACGTGGGCCCTGATTTGATCGATTGTATCTCCGTGAAGCATGAAGACTTGTAGAGAGTTCAGATACTTTTTTGGTCAATTCAGCCACTTGTTGTTCGAGGGATGAACTGGAAGGTGCAGCATTAGCAGCACTGACATAAGCTGGAGTAACAAGTTCATTAATTTTGTCAGCCATTGCTGCTAAACGGGTTAGATCTTCATTGGAAGCAGCAAGAATTATTTGTATGTTATTAGGGAGACGCGAAAGCCATAGTGACTTCAACAAGTCGTCACTAAAATGGCTTCCTGCCAGATCACGCATTCGTGACAGCAAGTATGAAGGTCGCTGATCTCCAAGTTCAAGTCCTTGTAGTAAAGTACGTATTTTTGAAGATTCACTTTCTGAATAGATTTCAATGAGCCGCTGTTTCAGTTTGGAGTATTTATCACAATCAGGTGGTTTGAGAATTAAGTCATGCACTGAATTCAGAATATCAGACTCAATTGCTGCAACTACATGGTTGAATTTTGTAGAATCCTCACTAATGCGAGCGATAGAAAATTGTGCTTCGATCTGAGCGAACCACAATGAAGGATTATTTTTCCAGAAAGGCGGTGGCTTCACCGCAACGCGTGTGATTTGTGGCTCTGGTGGAATATCGTCGGGCATACTGATAGATAATTTTCACTTTAATTAATAAACACTTAACAGCACAAATATTGTAGCATGAGGATACACTATTGATATTTTACCATGATAACAATAAATATTTTAACCATGCAGAAAAAATTTACGTAACGATACACACACAAATAATACAGGGTCAGCAATTACACACACAAATAATATTTTACCGAAATGCATTTGAAAAGAAACCCCTATTTGAGAAAAAAAAAAATGATGCGTTCATTTTGTATTGCGCACACACAAAATCACCACTTCACGCTAAGGCACTTTCGAAGGAAAAAAGGAAATCACTCCTGTAGCACATGGGAAAAAAAATTCACTACTTTCGAACACTGAGGGAAGAATTTTGCCGTAGCACGTTGCAGAAAAATTACTGATGTAGCACATTTAGCGAAAATCACTATTGTATCACATTTGTCACAAAAGTTGAATGATCGAAAGAATTATTGCACGACTGGCGAAGTCAGCGGAACGGAACAGATCACATTGATGATTTGCTGAAGCTCCTTGCGATGATATGCACGACTTTGAAAAAAACACAAGCAATATATATCAATACTTCTAGAAATAATTGAAGGGGTACGTTGTAGCATACGTTTAATGTCCATATTCGTTGTTATTTTTAGTCAGTTCTTCAGAATGCCTTGGATGCACGTGGCTTAGGGTCGTTGAAAATCCATTGTCAGTAGCGTGCTCAGTCAAAAGGTCACCACTTTTGGTGGTCGTGTGTGCTTAATGCATGATATAATTAAAGAAAATAAGAGTAGACAATCTCCTATAACAAAAGAATATATTAAGTACTAAATTACAATTTAAATTACATTGAAGAGATCAACACAGAGCTCGGAACACAGTTCATGCTACCGTCGCGTACAGTTGTTTTACGAGAAGTCTGAGTGAGTAAAGATGTCGCTTTGCTGCTCCGATTAAGAACTGGATTTTACACGTGGCGCCATCTCATGAATAGAAGTTGAAGTATCTGTCGGAACCACACTAAAATACTTGATAAGAAAGCCCGTATTTCGCTTCATTTCTCCAACTACTGCATCATTTACGACGGCTTTGTATATGACAATATTTATCTTCGGGCCGTGCACAAAGGGATACAATCTCAGTATACAGTCGACATCCAATTCAACGTTCTTTAAGATTATTCGTTTTTGAGTTATGCGAGATACGTACGTACAGACGCCACGAAAAATCTCCTCTAGATCCATTTTAAATCAGGTTTATAATTCGTTTCAGAAAAAGAGTTCCTTATTCTGTCCTTAAGTACAAATGTCACGCAAAAACATTGTTAAATGCCATTCGATAGCGATCAAAATTAATATTTTGGTTGAAATATTATACCCAAAATTTTTCGCGATTACAGTATTTCCTTTATACTTCGTACAAGGAAGCAAAAAGATTTAAGCGCTTATTGTTACATTCGGTACATTTGAGATATTTTAAATTTTTATTTATTTATTTATTTTTTTAGGATCCTGTGTGAGTCTTACTTCCATTATATTAGTGGATTTACTGGGTATGAGTAAGCTAAATAATGCCTACGGTCTTATATTGCTCATTGTCGGAATAGCAACGTCAGTTGGTACGCCATTTACAGGTAAGAGAAGAAATATATTTATTTCGCATCACTATAACTTTATGTTATCATTTCGAAAGAATTTAAAACAAGAGTTTTCCTTATATTACTCACATTATGCGTGATTAAATTGCTTTATTACTTTACTACTTTACACTATGCATCATTAAATTATATCACTCCACTACCGTTTACAGTTGCAAGCAGTAGTTGAAACCCTTTCACATTTCATTATAAAATTCAGTATTATAATGTTATATCCAAGTACATGTAATAAGTTCCCAAAAGAAATTTTGTTACTTTTCGGATAAAATTTCAAGGAAAACAGTTGCATGGAAGAAATAATTTTTTTTTTACAAAATCCTCCGCTATTAATCGGATAATTTTTCTCAACGTGATATAGATTCATGTATATCACGGCCCACCAGCGGCCGAGCGGTAAAATCGCTGAACACTGGTAGTTCGGTCCGAGGTTCGAATGGGCGTTTTCGTGGTTTTCCCCACGTGTAATGTGTATACGAGCCAGTTCCCCTTATAAAGTCCTCCACGAAGACATCCCTCCCTTAAGGCAGATAGCCCTTGAGTGCTTTGCCCTAATCTAATAAAACCAAACCAAACCTGTGTACATTTTGGCATTGTCCTACAAGAATCGTTCATCTTTCTTACTCATCAGGACTGGTTGTTTCATAGGCTAAGGAATCTCTACGCATTCAAACTGCCGACTGCAGACCTTTGTAAGCAGTACACTTTTGTTTACCGATTGCAGTAATTCCTTTGAGGAAGGACTTGCACAGTTCGGCATACACACACATGTTTCTTCGGCATGGGTTGCAATTTTACAGTATGAATGATGGGATCTGTCGTAACAACTAACCATGTGATTCCTTCAACTTGGACCCATTTCTGATCATACATCAGAAGGAAACAAAATTGTTCTTTCTGTGATAGGAAATGAGTGACAAGCAGATGGGAAGAGTTTCAGAATCTTCTTCCTCTCCGTAGAGTCTTGCAACACCAATTTTTTAAACGGTTCAGTCTGGTGTAACTACTCTACCTGGAGCAAATACATTGTAAAACTTGCTGTGAAGGTTAGGGAGAGTTAGCAAAAATGTTGAAGAACGTTCTCATAAACGTGCTTGGAAAAGCATGTTTAAATGAAGAGGAATTAGTCACCACATTATGTAATGTAGAAAGCTTGATAAACTCACTCCATCAAGAAATACTTTCTCCGTCAATATTCTTCCAAGAAATCAAAGAAGATGGGGTACGAAATTTTGATATAATTGATTGTAAGAAGTTAGAAAACAGATTTGTTTATAGAATGAAATACGTCTAAATCTAAGAAACAGATTTTGAAAGGAATAATTAGGATTGTTAAAAGATTATTCTTCATAAAGAATCGTCGGTTTAAGATTACTAATTGGTGATAATGACGTAAAGGGGAAAAAAATATCTTATAGCTAAAGTTGTCAAGACTTATCCAGGTACAGATGGAAGAATTTGCATAGTAAAAGACACACTTTGGCACCTTCATCAGAGCTATTCAAAGACTTTACCCATTAGAAGCCAACATATCTGAAACCTGCAATATTTGCAAACAAATTCCTGAATGATAAAAAATTCGAGCAATTTCACATTCTGTCGCCTAGCTTGGCTACATTTGGTCCGGTCCCTATTTAACAGTAATTGATCCCTACTTGTAACTTTAACCGTATATGCCCTCCAGTAATTTCGAGAAATGATAGGTACTAGAGATTTCTCGTCTGCTGGGGAAAAATTATATAAGAGAGGAGAGAGTTTTAGTTGTCAGTTTTCAATTCAGAGTAAACTTCGGAATATTGAAACACCTCCGTGCGAGCTTCGCTTGTTAGATGGTCTATGCCAGTGGTGCCCAACCTTTGGTGTCTCGCGAGCACATTTCCAAAACATCAACATTTTTGTTAAACATATTTCCAATCTTGTGTGATACATCTGAAATATTAATTACGGCAAATGGGTTTGAGATGAATAATAATATTGGTTGAACTTTATGGAAATCAGAGAAGCGGAGTTCAAAATTATTTTTCAGTGCATTTAGGTTTTCCGAGTATTTCTGTGTTTCAATTGCCTCGTGGTTATTAATATTTGTTGATAAATTCTGAAAATGGGTGAATTTTTTTTCTCTCATCTGATTTATTCACAAATTTAACTTTATCTGAAAAGCAGTTACAGTCCTAGTCAATTGAAAAAGGGTTTTTTCTTTTCCCTGAAGATCTTCGTTCAGTTTAGCTGTTATATCCGTGAGAAAATGCAGATCGAATAACCAATTGTTATCGTCCAATTCTTTAAAACATACGTTTCCAGATTCCAAAAACTGCTTTATTGGCAAAAGAAGTTCTACAAATCGTTGAAGTACTTTTCCCCTGCTGAGCCATCTAACATCGGAATGAAGTAATAAGATTCCATGTTCGCTATCAAGTTCATCAGCCAGCAATCCATTATTTTATAACGCCTTTCAAGATATCTCTTATGACTATAAATGCTTACCATATTTAAACAATTAAGAAAATAAACGAATGGTTATTTTTAAAATACTTTTTGTTCATAGTACCTAATCGGGCTGACGAGCATACTTGTGCTTGCAAGCACAAGGTTGGGCACCGGTTGTCTATACATTGCATTGTGTTTAACATTCTTATTAGTCTAGAAAGTGTTTCTTTTGGGAAAATAAATTTTATCAAGCTATTATCGGTTCTGTGTGCTTTCAATTCATTATGAACCCGTATGCATGCAACAATAATTTTATCCTGAAATAAGAAAAATCGGCCTCTGCACAAACCTGATGCAATCATGTGAAAACCATGTGCAAGTTCCAGCAACCCAGTTCGACTGTCGCAAACGCAACCTTGGCTAGCATTCTGCCAAAACACATAGACTCGTCCAAAAGGAGAGTTATTACTGGCTGCGACGTAAAAGGTCAAGTGAAAGTCTTCTCTTCTCCGGAAAAAGAGAATTTATATACTCGAGGGAATGAAAATCCCCATCCTTCCACCCTATTCTAAGATTAATTCGGTCCAAATTACGCATGCGTGTTTGAGCTCATGGTCGCGGATGAGGTGGTTGAACTATACAATATAAAATTTACGTCCAAAATGATGCAGATTCTTATGATGCAAGCAGGTTATGCCAGTCAAAATTTTAGTACTTTTTCTCATGATATTTCATATCTATTAAATAAAATAATGATTCTTGTGATACTTAATAGTCAATGTACCTAACGTAGAAAATACAGCCTAGCATGGTTATGAAAATTAATAAAAAAAGTTTTACTTTTCTATAACAGAACTTTTTATAAGTTTTTCAAAATTATTTCAGGTTGGATACATGACCAGACTGGTAGTTACGACATTGGTTTCTATATTTCTGGATCATTAATAGTGACAAGTAGCTTAATTCTTCTGTTCATACCACTTATTCAAAAGAAAAGTAGCCTCTGAAAAAAGACAGTAACATTCACATTTTGCATATGTTTGTAATGCCTAATAGAGAATTTTTCGTACAAACTTAACTGACAAATGGCTTTTTTTCAAGAATTTTGTTGTGCAATATATTTTTAATATGATTAAAGAAAAATGTAATTAACGTTATTGATAGAATGTCTTTTTATTTAACTTAAATGTAAAATTGCACGAGCTCATTAATAAATAATAAATGTACTCAGTTATAGGACAAATCACACGAAAAAATTTGTAAAAACCAAACAAAAAATACATTTACTAACTTTATTAAACTAATTATAACCCTAATTTTAAATTATGACACTTAAGTGCTTCATATAAAGTATACTGGTTCAGTATTTGTCATCTCGCAATCAAGCGTTCTATTGGCAGCTGTTATATCAAGAAGATGACATATAAATATGCATCTCATTTCAACTCTATCCATATAATTAACGTGATATGGGCACCAGATTCTAAGAAATGTAGAAATTTAGAAAATGTAATATTCCAGAAGTATTTCCACAAGTTTTTACATTAACATTATTAAAAATATTATCTCATAATATTTATGGAATTACGTACTTTCACAGTTTCTCATATTGCCTGTAGGCCCACCAGCGGCCGAGCAGTAAAGTCGCTGAACACTGTTAATTCGGTTCGAGGTTTGAATCCCGCAATCCCGTGATTTTCCCCATTTGTAACGTGTATACGAGCCAGTTTCCCTTAGAAAATCCTCCACGAAGGCATCCCTCCTCTTAGGCAGATAGCCCTCGAGGCTTTGCCATAATCACACACACACATATTGCCTGTAACTACTTTAAAATTTTTTAGCTTACTGGCATTTCATCATGATGTTTGTAGCAAGTTATTCAAGTAGTATGGCCATTTTTCCTAGACCCATCAATGGCCGAGCAATAAAGTTGCTGAACACTGGTAGTTTGACCTGGGTTCGATTCCAGGTGAATGGTCTGACTGTATGGGAGTTTTCATGTTTTTTCCCCACGTGTAATGTGGATATGAGGCAGTTTTCTTTAAAAAGTCTTGCATAACAGCCACCCTCTTCTTAGACAAATAGGGCTCATGTTCTTTCCCATAATCAAATAAACCTTTTTAAAAAAAAAAAAAAAAAAAATTCAAGCTTTCACGTGCGTTGATTTTTTGTATTGTCCTACATTTTTTTTAATTGCCAATGTGTTTGCCACTTGAATATTGGCAGCAGTGAGCTACAGAAGGCTTACAAAAGTCCTTTGTCACATTTGTCTTCACTTTGTGAGCCCTCTGTTCTTTTTATTTGGTTGTTTACACCAAGAAACAATACTTGTGTGGCATGTCGATCATAATTTGATTTGTCATGTTATTCTTTCTTTTCCTGTGAATTAGGGTCTCGTCTGGTTTCATTTAAATTACATCCAACACATTATTGAAAGCCCTAAATTGAAACAGGTGTTGGAAAATACCAGCTTTCTTCACTAAATCTTTTTTTTTTCAGTATCAAATGCTTTTTTAAATCAAAATAGTGGGTTGAAGTTTCATTGTTTGGTTTTCTGTTAGAAAATAATAATAACGTTCGTCTTTCGTGCTCCGTCTGTTCGATAATACCCGAACCGGTCCCAACCGAGAGGCCTTTCATATCACGCAGGTGGTGGGTCGCCAATCTTAGTTCCCCAAGGAGTAAAATGTACGCTAATCATGCTACCACTCCGAGGCCCCAATTCAGGGCAACAGACTTTAAAAGTTTTTCTATAACCACTGCTAGCTTCTGAGCGCATCGGGTCACCACTCCTGGTTCAAAGGTTTCACAGCGGTGGGGAACATGCACACCTGGAGATCTGACTGGTCGTTTAAAATGCTACCTACGTGGGATGCCTGAAGCCCTTGCACCGGATCTAACACGGGGCTCACTCTACCTCACCCTGTGGGCCACCCGAATAAACCAGGACGGTTTTACTCGCGAATGCCTACAGGTCACGGGAAATCACTAAGTTCAATGATTTTATACCTCCGTGGTATAAAATCATTGAACTTGGCGGTTCAATGATTCCGCAATCATTGTTTCATTGTTTCTTAGTCTTCAGCATATAAGTCGTACCGAGATCTTAACCAAATGATATTAAATTTAGGTATATATGGCATTTAAGAAGATTTTCAGCCTGCAGCAATTATAAAATTTGCTATAAAGAAGAAAAAAAAAAAAAAAAAAAAAAAAAAACTTATTCCAGAGGAAATAAAATAAATGAAATAAAGTATTAGAAAGTATGTCAAAATCAAAATACATAGTTTGATTTTTAAGTAAGCGCAGTTTTGTTATATACACTAATACGTGTTGCGTGGGCGGAACGAGTCCTTGTGTCGTGTCTCGGCATTCCGTGGCAACAACTGTGCCCAGTTGCAGCTGTGTAGGTAACCTGTGCGGTCTGTTCTGTGTCTTTATCAAGATTACCAAATTGCCTGCAGCGTGCGGGATACGGTCAGTGATATGTACGGTCAGAAACCCACCTGCTACAGATATTCACTGGCAGATTTGTGAAGTTTACAAAGCTACTGCCATGAGTGAAGGCAAAGTGCGTAAGTATGTCAGAGACTTCAAAGCTGGCCATGACAACACCCATGATGAGTTCTACTCCAGTCTGTGATTACAGACGATATGGTGGATTCAGTTGAAGCGAAAATTCTTGAGACAGACAGTTCACCATTCTCACAGTTCTAGGACATGAAAACGGTCGTGACCTTTTGGTTATCGGAGGAGGTGGCAAGTTTCTATGAAAATCTAGTTCTAAAATATAAGTGTTAAAACAAACTTGGCAACTATGTTGAAAAATAGAGAAACGTATGTAAAATTTGAAATTAAATTTCATTTTTGAAAATTTTCTTTCGATTGGTTTTTATTTTCAAACGCTTGCATAAAAAATACCCCTCGTATATCTTAAAAACAGGTAAGTGTCAGTCAGAATCTGAAGATCTGGTGGAAAGGTAAATATTAAAAAACTTATAAAATGAATACATCATGCACATGTGCTTACACAGAAATGTTAAAGATTTTAAAGGTACTCTTAATTGGTGTATTCAATTTATGGAACTAAAATATACAACGATGTAATAGCTGTGACAATTTCAGATGATTATGACTGACTATAAACCTCCATCTATAGCTTAACGATAACATCTATAATTTAAACATAATAACTTAATATTTAAACATAACAAACAAAATAAATACTTTACAATATTTCATATGATTTTTTAAATACAATAAATTCCAATTCTGTTTAAGGGAAATAAATATCTGTTAATTAAATTTGATGTTAAAAAATTTTTTATATACCAGTGAAATTACCTGATGCAAGTTATTTTCTTGAAACTAGTAAGAAACTAACAAAAAACATTTAAATAAAAAGTGCATAAAATTTAATAAATATTTTAATAAAGCATTTAAACAAAAAGTGCATAAAGTTTAAATAAAAAGAATATGTGAATAAAAATATGACTTTTTTATAAGTAAAAAGATTTTTTATTTAATATTCATTTGGAAAGATAAATATATAATCAATGACTTTTAATGAATATAATTAGGAAATGTCAAATCAACCAAGCATAAGAAAATGCTTTATCTATGCTAAAACTAGATGATTGATGGAAATCTATGCCTTCCAAAAGGCTGAGTTCGGAAAGCCAATTAAAATTTTAAAATGAGAAGAAAAGAATTCATATAAACAAATAATCTAATTAAGTAATATCTTTTATTATGAACCAGTTTTTACAAATATTTCCATAATGGGATCATATAAAATACATACATCAAAAAGTATAAATTCAAAACAAGTGATTTCTTACTAAATGGGGGGGGGAATTCAGATTATGTAACTGTGAATATAAAAGGTACAAATAAACTAGGAACAAAATTCAGAATTTTTACTGTCTTAAAAAAAAATTATGTATCAATTTAGCTTTCACAGAACAATTTTTAAAAACTTATGTTCATTATGAATAACATGTTTATCATGAATGCACTAAAATTAAAGTGAGAACTATTATAACATTTATTCACATCATACAATATATGACATGATTAAAAAAAAAGATGCAATTACTGAACAATTAAAAGTTATAAAATTATGATCACTTACAATCAAAAATTTGTTCATTAAAATGAGTGACTATAATTCTTCATTACATTTATCAAATACTCTCAAATCAGAATTAAAGCGGTCCATTATATACCTGATTTTAAGAACACAGAATAGCTGTATATGATGGCTGCATAAAATTTTTACAGGAAAAGAGGGTGATACTGTTTTAAAGTTAATTTCTTTCTACAATTTGGGCACTTTCTTGTTCCTCGAATTGACGTTACCAGACACTCATTACAAAATACATGACCACATATAGATGAAACCAATTCTCTGCCAGAAGATGTGATCTGTAAAATAAAAATTAAGTTACATTTAGAGAAATTTAAAAAATACATAGTTAGACTGTGCTTTTGCTTAAGAAAACTTCTGCATACTGCAATATTTTCATTAATTACTGCAAAACTCACATTAATAACCTAATATGAAACATCCTTTAATCCCTTAATTTTGATATCTATTAGCTCAAACACATAGAATTCTTCTGACAACAAAAACTGAAGTATCCCTTGTGGTCCAAAAGACGCATGTAAAAATGTCAGCCATGTGGCAGAATATAAAACAACAAACACTGTGCCATATCTGCTTTACAAAAATGCAAAATCGTGAAAAATCTTGTGCAATATAATTCACATAACTGATTAAGAATTTTTTTTTTACAATTAAAATTATACAAAACTGAATTGCACATACTATTTTGAAAAAAATATATGAAGGAAAAAAAAAGCATTTCTTTTAACTTAACAACAAAATATAATCAAACACTGATTTAATCCTTTTGGTCCCAACAGGACCTATATGTCCCAGCCATTGTATCTGTTATTTCAGTAAAACAAATTAGCATTGTTTTACTTAGTAGCATTTTGAAAACAATTTCCATATACTTGAGTAACTTTTATGTCCATTACTGTATATTATAACTCCTATTTAAAATATCATATGTGTGTACTTCCAAAGTTACTGCATTTTAGAAGAAACTGGAGACTATTTCTGCTTTTTTCAATGTAAGTGTTTTCGTTTATTATTGACATGGACTGAACTTGAATTCTTATCTGCCAATCTAGGACAAAGTAAAATTGCTTGCAGATGAATCAGTCAATTCAGACCTGTTGGTAACTGGGCCTAAAAGGGTCTATGATTTTCATTATTAAATACCAGCCACCTAAAATGGTTTTATAAAGATATATATAAAGATTTCAATGAGTAGTATTATTAGGTCCAGCTAGTAAAACTTTATAAAAATGTTTAAAAATAATTCAAAAATATTGCTTTTTTTAGTGCACTTATTTATCAACTTTCCAATAGAACAATTCTAGGCTTTAAATTCAAAAGAAAGAGCTGTAGCAAATATTGCAATTCATAGTACAATTTCTTTAATATGACAACTACTTTTAATTATGCCCCCAAACTACCTGAGTGAATGAAGATTACGCTTTAAAGCACAAAAAGCATTGTTAAACAATTAAATACCAAATATGATTATGATTATATCATTATGATTGTTTCTTTCCATCAGACTTTCTCAACTGTTTTTATATAATTTATGGTATGCTATTCTATTCATTACATACAGGGTGAATCTACAAAAAAGTGTGCAAAACTTTACATGGTGAGAAAATGTAGCTATACGAGAAATATTCGTCACAGAATGTACGGATGAAGCGTGAGTGGTGAGAAGCTAAAAGATAGTTTTTCACTGTCACACTTAAAGAATTAACACAAGAATAAGAGAAGATACTTCACAAAACATTTTATTAATAGGAATGAATTGATGTACAAGCTTAAAGAAATTGCTCAAAAGACATTCTGCCTGGTGTATTGCAGACTTCACACCTGCGCAACAGGCACTAACGTACATTTGCGAAGACACCAGGGATTTCTAGAGGGGGGATCGATGCAGAGAATTCTGTACCTAGGCAGTCTCGGCCACAGGGCACATAATCATTGAACTTGGTGGTTTCACCTGCCCAAGGGAAGATACCTTGAGATGGAACTTCATTGGCCTACCCGAGGTGAGTCGGCATAAGTCACGGAGCAGTTGGTTCTGTAGCTCGGTGTGGGACAGCACCAAGTTTGCTCAGTAATGTCCTGCTTTGAACTGCAGCTCACATAGTACTGGCAGGGAGCAATTTTGATGACCAGTCAGATCTCCAAGCGTAGTTCTCGGCGAGAACTGGGAGTGGTGACCCTGCAGGCCCAGGTGGTAGCTTTGGCCATTGAGAAACAAAATTTTAAAATCTGCTACCTTGGATTGAAGGCCCAGGGAGGCAACATAGGACAGCTTCTAAGTTCAAGACCCTCCCTTTGCCTAATATGGCAGTTTACGGATGAGGCCAATCCGTGTAATGCCAAAGGTGGAGCATATAAATAATCAATTCAATATGGCCCCACAGAAAAAAGTGCAAACACGAGAAATCCGGTGATCTTGGTGGCCAATCTATAGGACCACTTCAACCAATAAATAATACATAAAACTTAGCCCAGTTAGCGGTAGGTGGAATGAGGGATATTTTAAACTGATTTGAGAGTATATGAGAAGATTTAACAGCTGTTTTAACTTTTTTGAGGTCAAAAGTTAAGGGATCCTTATGGATCGAGCAATATGGGCCTTCATTTAACAGTTCAGTGACTCCATTAATGCATTATGTGTTTGTCCATTACAATAATCTGCCCACCCTCATCAGTTTTACAGAATACCTTATCAGATATTATTGTACCTTTTATAGAATAGCTTATCAGTACCCTGATCAGAAATAATGATATCATGATTAGAATGAGTTTCATGTAAGGTTTTTCTTTTCCAAAATTTTAGAAAATTTAAAAGCTTTTTTAAGAGAAGCAATGATTTGAGGAGATGGAGTTTTAAATTTCTGTGAGAACTTCCAAAAGGCTGCCTATTCTAGCTTCATCCCTCCCCCTGAAAAAGTAAAAAAAAAAAGCTATTCATCTAACAAATATATTCCAATTTAACAAACTATCAGTGTCTTTTCAAATTTTTCCCTTTCAGGATTTTTCCCCAAAAATGATCCAATTTAGTTATTGAACCCATGCCAAGCTTACTCAAAAATTATTCTTTTCACTAATTAACATTTCTCTCAATCTGACAAATTACGGTTTCCAAATATGATAATAGCTTTTTTAGCATAAAATGTACAAATGTACAACAACCCATGGATAAGGGAATACTTTGTCCCTTTAAAATGGAATTATTAGTCACATGTACAAATAAACTGTAACAATATTAATCAGTGATATACTGAATGAATTTCAAACTTTTTTTTCAAAATTTCACAAATTAAAAAATTTAGTCCATGATGTAATTACTAAGACTCATAGAATGAAATATATCATAAATGTTTTAAGAAAGCAGGTTTTTATTACAAGCTAAAATGAAATGCGATTTCCCCATTTTCAAAGTTAGCAGGGGAGAAGATATTTTTGAAACCTGAAATTGACTTTTACAGATCTGTTGTTTTTCAGATTATAAACCTTGCAAAGTTGAGTTATCAACTTTTGCATTGATAAAATACAAGCAGTGACTAACCGAATGTTTAAAATGAGGAGAAAATATAACAAATCAGATTTACAGATGTTCTTTTTGGTACAAAAAGAATATTCTAATGCAATATGGAAAACAAGTTGAAATATCTAATGATTTCCAAACACTAACAAGAAATTTGGAAAATGAAATTGTTAAAACAAACGTGATTTATAATTTTTCTTTCTAGTGGCATGGTGACAAAAAAAGCCAACTGCCACAATCTTGGGCCACCCAGATGATAGAGTTGGTTAGTGATTCTTACTACTGTACCAATAGGCCCAGGGTTCAAATCCCAGAGAACACATGGATGTTTGAAAATGTATAGTGTCTGTGCTGCAAGGAGGTGCTCAAATATATGAAGAGCTGAAAGACCTTTCAAGTGATTGGTAGTAGAGAAAGAAAGAGTGGGAAACCCTCAGACCACTCCCCTGAGCAACAATGCAAAATTAGGTCTGAGCTTAAAATTAGCAAGGTCTGGTGATACATAACACACCTTTGATAATACACAGGTGCTAGCCTTGTTTCACCCTGTACCAGCCACAGCCTTTTTTAACAGTCTATGACAAATACAATATATTAAAAAATATACACATATATGCCATAAAAGTTATTCCCCCACCACCCAACTAATTAGGTTTCCTATAAGTCACTTTCAAACACCTAGCCAGAGAGAATCATATAGTCAATAACAATACACTGAATGATGTCAGGCTATTATTATTACAGCAATCTTATCAAAATTAAAGTTTGAATTTTTGATTACGTCAAAAAGAATTTCTAATTCTGAAGCTGTAATAGGACCTTTAAAGCGAAAGCATATTTGGTACCTGCCTTCTATAACAGCCTCAATAAGAGTAAACAGCAATGGCACAATCTGAGCTGGAGAATGTGCAATTTCAAAATTAGGCAATTTCATTCTGGTGATTCTTAAAATATAGCTACTGAAAAAAAATAGCGGCAGTCTCTCTCTTTTAGTTTAAAGAGCAACTGGTGTTTAATGCATAGGATTACTAACAAAAGTGTGAAGATTTTATAGAACAATAAAAACAAACAAAAGGTTTCACACAAACATGCATTTTATCTTACTTTTGATTTATACATTTACTCATTCAAAATGACCCCAGGTAAGACTGGTCAATGATATGAGAGATATGATACATAACTTAAGATGTCTGCAGTTAGATTTTAATAAATGTTAATTCTATAAATGAACTGCCAAGTGTACTTGTATAGTTACTAATTTTACATTGAGATTAAAATGATGTTAAATAAAATCAAATGCCCTTTGCATTTCTTTTTATGTCTAAATTGAAATCTCCCATCATAATAATAAGAACATATGTAACAGCAGTAAAACTCTTCATTGATCAATATTCTCAGAATATTTCATCAATGCATTAACATCTTCAAATCTCCTGAATTAACAACTGGATGAATATATATGAATACTATAATAAATCTTGACTGTCCATTAAATATTACATCAAACATACAAACATGGCCTGCTTCTGAATCCTGTATTCTCTTATGCTGCTTAACAGTAAATTCTATTGGTACACAATCTGTTACACTCGTCAAATTTTTGTAAATCACAACACCAATAGTTTGGTGAAATAAAATAAAATATAGCAAACACCACCTGAACACACTGAATGTCTACCAGACGACCTAGCCATTCACACACAGTCGCACATGTGCATGGAGCTACGACACCGCCAAAATTTCGCTATTTTTTACACGTTACTAAAT